GCATACTCCATGGCAGTTGCCCAATCTACTACTTATAAGCCATTACACAGCCACTCTCCAATTTCACCAGACATCTCCTTTCAGCTTCCATTTTCTCTTTTGTGTCCTAGGGTCAGCATTTTCAAAGCAACCACATTGGATGGGGATTCTGGGAGCTGCAATTTAGAAAAGCATTTCTTCCCTTCCAACCCGGAGCCTGTTGCTCTGAAATTCTTCTGTGTGATGGCACTATGCATGGCAGACTTATCTCCCCCTGTTCCTTAAGCGGACTTTACTTCTCCAGAGCTAAGGAATTATTCATATGATGGGATGGAGAGAGGATGCCTCATCATTGTTCCTAACCTCATGAAGAGAGGTCGTGCTCATTTTACACAATCTGTTTAGCAAAAATCTTCCATTTAAGGCCAGACCTCTTCCCTTAATTTCCCTCTTACCCCTCTCAGGACCTTATTGCTTCACTCAAATAACCCGCCTTACCTCTTCCGAATCAAAGTCTAATTCGGGAGGCAGCCGGGTGCTATCACAAGAGTTTTGTAGCCAAAGTCACTGGAAGAGTCCAGCCCAGCTGCAGCCCGGGTCCCAGGTGTGCTTCGGCAGCCTTGTTTTGAAACCAGGAGCTTTCTGACTTCAAAATTTTTTTTAATAAAAATGAAATTTTAAAAAATGGCCACTGAAGAGCACCGGGGACTCGGGCTGCAGCTGGGCTGGACTCACCTGGTGGCTTCGGTGGCAAAATCTTTGCGATAGGACCCAGCTGTCTCCTGAATTAAACTTTAATTCAGAAGAGGTAAGCCAGATTATTTGAGCGAAGCAATAAGGTCCTCAGCTTCCTTGCAAGAACAGTTCTGTTCAGCTGTTACATTTTTGCTGTATAGGCCTCCCAAATTAATCTATTTCCTTTTGTGGGCCTTGGATCTTTCATTGAATGAACACACACACACACACACACACACACACACACACACACACTCCAATGATCACAGAGAAAGGAGTCTATAATTTGCCCTGCTAATAATTGCGCATCCTCTCTCTCAGCAATAAAATCAAATAATCATTGCTGGATCTGACGGCTGACGACAGATTGGCTTTTTATCTTTTATCTTTCCACCCCATACTAGAGAGGATGTGGGGGGACCCACAAAAGAGCTGTTGACAAGCCTAGAAAATTGATTTAGGGAAATGGAAGTGAGTGGGGATATGGGAAGGGAGGAGGGAAATACAGAACAATTCATAATTGCTATCTAATTGTCTGTAGGCAGCAAATACCACTTCAAAGCACCCGAGAAAAATGATCTTCACAAGGGTGGACCTTGAATACCCCCTTTGCAAGCTCAAAGCATTGAACAGGAAAGCAAACAAACAGATGAACTGGAGAAGATTCTTGTGTCTTTTCCCTGTTGAGGAATAAGCAGGTTTCCTGGCAATCTACTCCACATATTGCATTTCTTTTCCTCCCTTTGTTATCAGAAGAGTCCAACTCTGGTAAGTTTCTAAAAACCCCAGTCAAATGGACATGTATTTTTTTTAATCGCTGATAAAGCTTGAGATCCTACATAGAATAGATGGAGTGTAACTTTATATTTGGTTGCACAGTGGTTGTGTAGTTCTCATTTCCTGCATGGCCGGGTGTTGGACTGGATGGCCCTTGTGGGCTCTTCCAACTGTAGAATTCTATGATTTTATGGTTAGTAAGACCATGCAACCAAATGCACAGCTTAATGTCCGGCAACTGCAATGGATCCCAGTTCATAATGTGCGTCCATGTTGAATGTGCTTTCAATGCAAATTCAAGCACACTGAACATGTGCATCTATGTGCGGCAGGAGACTAGTGCCATGGTACCACATGTGTTGTGTGTGTTGTGTGCCTTCAAGTTGTTTCTGACTTATGGTGACCCTATCACAGAATTTTCTTAATAAATGTTTATGAGTTTTTACTACTGAGACTGAATTTCTGAACTTTGATATTCTATTGGATGGGACACCACTCCTCTCCACTATCCCTGCTGAATAAATCGAATGCAAACTCCTTTTTGCACTAGGAACTCAATTTGTTTCAATTAGCCATTGGGTCTGTTTTCTCCTTTTGAACAGAATAGAGGTGAAGTGTGTTTATGTTTGTGTGTGTGTGAGAGAGAGACACACATAAGCTTATCACCCGGCACTTACAAGAACGGGAACAGAACGAAACGGAACAGAACAGAATGGGGGCAAAAATGCATTTTACTGGACGGGAGAACACCACCGATGCCTTGGGGACTCCCAGCGACATCGGTGGCATTCTCCCATCCAGTAAAATGCGTTTTTGCCCCGTTCCATTCCATTCCTTTCCTTTCCATTCCTGTTCCTTAAGTGCTGTGCGACAAGCTTACTAGTTTCAATTGCCTTGCCATCCACCCACAGAAAAGGGATGAGGGGAGATTTCAGTGAACTTCCAGGAAGTGGTTTGGCAGAGAATAGCAAGTAGCAATAGCAAGTACATTTTTACACCGCTTATCAGTGCACTTAAGCACTTCCTAAGCGGTTTACAATGTGTAACCCAATTGCCCCCAACAAGCTGGGTACTCATTTTAGCAACCTACGGAAAGATGCAAGGTTGAGTCGACCCTGAGCCCCCTGGCTGGTATTGAACTCACAACCTTATAGTTTGTGAGTGAGTGGATACAGTACAGGCATTTAACCACTGCACCATCAGGGCTCTTCCCAATGTGTTGGAAGTATCAGAAGCATAAAGATAGCCCCACAAACACTTCTGATTGTGATGCTACATTCACTTCAGCAAGTCCTGGATGAGCTTGCAAAAGGACTTTGAATTGTATTTTTAAAAGCCACATGGTTTTCAGGAAGGCTTGCCTGCAATTATTTAATTTCACAAGAATTTCAAGCCAAATCCCTAATGTTAGTGAACATTGGCATCCAGCAACCCACCATTATTTTTTGCTCTCACATTAGCATTTTATCTATCGGTTTTATAGAGGGAGGTTTGAGTCAAGGAATAATATGATCATAGAATCATAGAGTTGGAAGAGGACTGCAACGGCCATTTATTCCAACCACTTGCCATGCATGAAGAGACAAGTAAAGTAAATGTGCATGAAGAGACAAGTAAAGCATGAAGAGACAAGTAAAACACTCATGAAAGATGGCCTTCCAACCTCAGTATAATGACCTCTGAAGAAAGGAAGTCCATCACCCTCTGAGGCAGCCTATTCCACCGGTATTCCTTGGTAGTCTTCTATTAAGGTACTAACCAGGGCTAAGCCTGCTAAGTTTCCAAGATCAGACAGGTTCTGGTGCCTTTCAGGTATTTAGATCATCCAGTATAGACTACAGCAGGGGTAGGCAACCTTTCCCCTTTAAGGGCCGAGGGACTTCAGCTCCCAGAAATCTCAGCCATGTTGGCCAATAGTCCCATGTTGGCCAATAGCTCCTGGGATTCTGGGAGATGAAGTCCCTCGGCCCTTAAAGGGGAAAGGTTGCCTACCCCTGGACTACAGTACCTGGTATTCCTTGGTGTTCTCCATCCAAGTACTAACCAAGTCTAAGCCTATTCAAACAAAAATCCATGAAACAGTGATACCTTTATCAGCCAACCAAAATGCACAATATACTTGTTGCAAGCTTTCAAAGATCCACTGGCTTCTTCATCAGGTGAGATGTTACAAACCAAACAGGAGAAAAACAATTGGAGATGTTAGTGAGATGCCTGCATTTTGTTGTTTCTGTTCTTAGTTAAGATGGTATGAGGAGGGTATCTTTTGCAGGCTGAGCCTGTTTAGCTTCCAAGATCAGACAGGATCTGATGCCTTTAAGGTACACCAGCCATAATATTATATATCTCTTACATGCCTCTTTTTCTTTTCCTAAGCTAAATTAACATGATGGTGAGAAACTGGAAACCACAATAGTGTTTATTGATACTGTGACAAATGCTTTTTAGCACAGGGAGCAAGTCACATTGAGCTCAAGTGGCCTCTGATGATGAAAGAAGTCCTTATCTGTGTGTGAAGTGAGGCTGGGATTGTACATTGAGTTGCACAGCACAAACCTCTCCATGTGGAATTATGCACTGAATGTGTTGAGAGAGACCCTTGCATTGAAAGGCAACATTGCAGAACTGAATGCACAACTGCATATGCCATCAAATGCACAAGTGCATTGATGTGTGCAGGTACATCAGTGTGCCCATGTGTGCAGTCGCATAGCGCCATGACACTGCATGCAGCACTCCATTCCTGCAACCGTAAACTGAATATAGATTGTCTGCAGCAGACACAAATGTCCAGCTCTTTCTGTAGCGGAACTTACTCAAGTGTCAAGGCTCCAACAGGATTCTCGCCTGACTCTTGCTTACAGTAGCAAGGGATTATCTAACCACAAAGCCATGATTGGAAAAGAAAAGAAAGATGTGGGAGCGGGGCAGTCTTGCGGCAGGCAGGCTGGGGCTCAGAGTTCCCTTCATTGAGATAGTGAAGAACAAGAGAATGATTGTAAAGGAAAAGAAAAAAACACACACAGCCTTATCTCTTCCCTGCCTGTTCCCCCACCACACTTGGATTATGCAAATCAACCATTCAAGCACATTTCCCTGGTAATTAAAAATGCTGCTCTTTTTAATTAAACTTTCCCTCCAGACTGATTTCTTTCCCCC